CAGTCCCGCCCGGCCCACCCAGTCCGCGAGCATCCGGCCCAGGGGCTCCGCCGCCGCGCTGACTGGGCTGTGGCCTGACGAGCAGCCCAGCAGCCGGGAACGGGCAGCTCCGACCAGCTTTCAGTCCGGCCACTCGCGGCCGGAAGGGCCGGCTGCACGCGTCCAGGGCCCTGCCGGCAGAATCCCAGGGCTGCCGGTGCTTCAGGGCTTTTACCCGCGTACGGAACTATTCAAAGAGCGCTAGCACGACAGAGGCCTCAAAAAGAACAATAACAAACATTTTACTAAAGTTAGGAATAAATTATTTTAATTTCACGTACTTGCTATTGGATTTGAATTGATGACTTGCGTATCTATTTTTTATTTTTTTTATTTTTATTGGTTTTTTACAGAGAGGAAGGGAGAGGGATAGAGAGTTAGAAACATCGATGAGAGAGAAACATCGATCAGCTGCCTCCTGCACACTCCCCACTGGGGATGTGTCCGCAACCAAGGTACATGCCCTTGACCGGAATCGAACCTGGGACCCTTCAGTCCGCAGGCCACGCTCTACCTATCGAGCCAAACCGGTTTTGGCACGTATCTATTTTTTTAAACATATATTTCTATTGATTTCAAAGAGGGAGAGCAATCATCAACGATGATGAGAGCAATCATGGATTGGCTGCCTCCTGCTCGCCCACCGGGGGAGCCCGCCCCTGAGGCCTTGCCCGACTGGCAGTCAAAGGCGACTGCTGGGTCCATAGCCTCACCACAGCCTTTCTATTTGTAGGCTCAGAGTTGCACTGAAAGTCCTATTTTCACCCTGCTCCCTCAACCTACCCAAACTGTATGGGCCTGCAGCATGGACACGCCCTGTTTTGTTTATATATTTATAATCCTCACCTGAGAATACGTTGATTTTTTTTTTAAGAGAGAGAGAAAGGGAGAGAGACAAAAACATGGATGTGAGAGAAACATTGATCAGTTGCTTCCTGGATGGGGATTGAACCCGAAACCTAGGTATGTGCCCTGGCCAGGAATCCATGAATACAATGGGTCCTGCTGATGTACCAGACGAGATGCTCCAACCCACTGGGCCAGGGCAGAGCACGGCAGTCTTGTTAGCAGAACACACTCAATCTCACACACCAGTATAGACTGCTTTGTCTTGCTATTCTGTTATGCACAGAGGAATCCTTAACATGTTTGTCCCCAATGAGCCAAGACAAGTATCCTATGTAATAAAAGCCTAATATGCTAAGTGTTCGGTTATTCGGTCATCCAATCAAAGTGTAATATGAAAATGATGTCAAGGCCGTTCAACCACTTGCTATGATGTGCACTGGCCACCAGGGGGCAGACACCCCAACTGGTAGGTTAGCTTGCTGCTGGGGTTCGGCCAATTGGGACTGAGCAAGATGGCCCGGACATGCCCTGGAGCTCTCCCTCGGTCCCTCCCCGGTTGCCCAAGCTCCTGCATCCCTCCCTGGCCCCGGTAGTGCACCTGTGGGGTCCCTCAGCCTGGCCTGTGCCCTCTCACAATCCGGGCTGAGAGACCACCCTTCCGAGTGTACGAATTTCGTGCACCTGGCCTCTAGTAGAAAATGCAAAGAAAAAATGCAAAATGGCCCTGGCTGGTGTGCTCAGTGGTTAGAGCATCCTCCTGTGCACGGGGAAGGTCTCCAGTTCAATTTCTCATCAGGCCATCTGCCTGGGTTGCAGGATTGATCCAAAGCAGGGAGTGCACATGAGGCAACCCATCAATGTTTCTCACATCCGTGTTTCTCTTCCTCTCTAGAATCAATGTCGTCAGGTTAGGATTAAAAAATAAAAAACAAAATGTACTCAAGTAGGATAAGATCTACTACTACAGACTTTCAGCATTATCGCATGTAGGCAACAAAAACAGGAAATGGAATGTTTGGGGTGCCTCTTGGATTGGGGACTCTCAAACACAACCTGGCAAAGGACAAGAAAGAAAGGAAGAGACTGCAGTGCTTTGTACAACAGGTGACTTTTAAAAAGGTGATTTCTATAACAGTGTTCATAATTCCTCTCAGTCTTGACACACTTTATCTGCTGTTGAGGTCACATTTGCCATATTCTAACCCCTGTCTGCCTGAAATCTACAAATGAGATGTTCATATGTCTTGGAACGGGTGTGGAATGGCAGGTCCACCGGCTGTATAAGATCCAAGAAATCATTTGGTCTGGCCCTGGCAGGCATTAGGGATGAGTTAATTAAATGGTTGACCAAATAGGGCAGGCTTATTTTTAAGTTGATAATTTTGTATGGCCTGAGAATGATGTTATAAAAATCCAAATGGACATTGGAAGGAAAAAGGTTCCCCACCCCTGGCCTAGAGCCAGAAATGTAGGAGGCAATAGCCAGAGGTCAACTTATGGGTTTGTTTCTGAATAAGATCAAATCTTGACTTACAATAATCAGAATAAATTTCACATAATGAAGGTCTTTCCAGCTGAAAGTTTTAAAACATGCATCTGGAAAACGGCCTTAGTCTGTTTTGTTCCCAGGGCAGTACTATATCACCCTTAAACAGCCCACAGAAAAGGGAATTATTGCTCCCTGACTATCAAGCTGTGGGGAGGTAAGTGATGGAACTAAGTTGGACTTGAAACATTACCAAATTAAAACAAAAAGAAACCTTGCTTTGTGTTATCAAAAAGGCATTTCACTGAGAAGTAGGACGGACCTAGATGCTGCTACTCTTGTTTAATACCAAAAAGCAAAGGTGAGATTTAAAAAAATTTTTATAGAACATTTGGTCATTTGTTTGTTTGTTTATTTTAATCTTTATTGTTGATGTACCTTACAGATGTCCGCCCCCCCCCCTCCCGCATCACTCTCAACCCGGTTCCTGCCCACCCTAAGCCTTCACAACCCTATTGTGTCCATACGTAATGCCTATCTATAATAATAAAAGGGTAATATGCTAAGAACGTCCTTTTGGATGAAGCTGGGGCTGTAGGGAAGCCAGCCTGGGTTCTGGGTGCCTGCCAGCAGCCGGAGGGAAGCAAGCCTGGGTCCCGGGTGAAAGAAGGAAGCCGGTGACGGCAGCTGGGGGAAGGAAGGCCTACTCTTGCATGGATTTTGTGCATCAGGCCTCTAGTCTATATATATAAAAGCCTAAGCAACCAGAACAACTGGTCGTTATGGTGTGCACTGACCACCAGGGGGCAGATGCTCAATGCAGGAGCTGCCCCCTGGTGGTCAGTGAGCTCTCACAGCCAACGTCCCATGGCCAGCCAACCTCCCCCAGTCCCTACCCCTGGCCGGCAAACCTCCCTCCGGCCCCATCTGGCAGCTGGCAGCTCCAATTGGGACTGGGCGAGATGGCCCTTATAGGCCCTGATCACCGGCCAGGCTAGGGACCCCACCCATGCACAAATTTTGTGCACCAGACCTCTTGTCTACCCTAATAAAGAGGGAATATGCTAATTAACCCTCATGCTGTCATAAAGATGGCACTGCCCACAGCCAATAAGGAGGGAATATGCTAATTGACTTCCACGCCCTCAAAGATGGTGGTGTCCACAGCCAATAAGGAGGGAATATGCTAATTGACTGCCATGCCCTCAAAGATGGTGGCCCCACAGCCACAAGATGGCGGTGCCCAGTCC